AAAAATTCCAAATATAAAAATAGAATATAATTAAACACAAATGCATCACCCAGTTTTAACAATATCAACAACACATGACCTTTTTTGTTTTATCCAATGTCCTATTCCCCTCTCAGCTATTCCAGAGAGGTATTTTAGTCTATCTATAAGAAATCTTAGGAAAGAAAAAAAAAGGGGAGAGGTGATTGGGGAAAATAGCTCAGCAGCATAAGCACCTGCCTGGCAAGTGTAAGGTCCTAAGTTAGATCCCTGTGTCATGCCTTAGGCAGACAGCCTGAAAGCAACATAAAGGAGACAGATTTGCTCTCTGTAGCCACTGCTGCCACTGCTCCTGCCATTTTCATCTTGCTGTTTTCTGCCACCATGAACTGCTGCCCTCTGCCATGTGTCACTCTTCTTTAGAACCAGATGAGTATGGATTGAAACCTCCACTAACTGTGAGCTAAATAAACCTTTCCTTCCTTCATTTTGGGTGTCAGGTATTTTGTCCCAGCAACAAGAGAAAAGTAAAGGAGACACCCCAGTGCCAAGAAGAAAAAAGAAAATAAATAAATAAAAGCAACTAGAAAAAAAGAAAAGAAAAATGAAATCTTAGCTGAGGATGGTAGTGCATGCCTGAAATGCCAGCATTTGGAAGATTGACAGAAAAGGATTGCCACAAATTCAAGGCCATCCTGAACCATAGCCTGAACCACATCGTGAGACCCTGTCTCAAAAAACAAACAAAACAGCAAAAACTTATAGAGGGAAATAAACATTTTGGCAGCAGAATGATGGTATCATCTGAAATCTAAGTGGCCCGCAGGCCAAATCCAGCCATCCTATTTCAGGACTAATAGCCTTCTCCTCCCCAAAAGACTAATACTCCCTTCTGGGACTAAGTTTACTTTAAAAGGAACCAGGCATACAGGCCAGTGGTGGAGAGTAGTCTTAGCCTGTGCAAGGTCCTAGGTTCAATGTTCATTAGCCTCCAAAGTTACTTTTACTGTGAATGTAGACACCTGCCACCATGCCCAGCTAAAAAAGTTATTTTAAAGGACTTCAGCTTTTTTTTTTTTTTTTTTTTTTGCAGTATTTATTATTCAACCTAGATTCTGCCTTGTACTGAACTATATCCCCATTTATTTATTGCAGTATGGGTTGAACCCAGGGTCTTCACACTAAGCTACATCCCTATCCCTTTAAAGAGAAAGTCTCATTTAAATTGATAAGTTCCGGGGCTGGAGAGATGGCTCAGTGGTCTAAAGCACCTACTTGGAACAAGCTTGGCAAAGCACAGGGACCGCGGTTCAATCCTCCAGCACCACATGCCAGC